ATTCCATTACTGAGGGGGGGGGGGCGCGAGAGGAAAAGTTTGGGCACCACTGCCCTGGACCACGCTGTCTCACCAGTTCCCCTTGGAAGTCTCTTATGTGGGGTCATGCTGCTCAGTGGGAGGAAAGGTGCAGTCTGACTGAGAGCTGAAACACATTTTTGGCTACAGTCACCAGAATTCTGATCAGGGCCCAGATCCCCAAAGGTGTTTAGGTGCCTTGCTCCTACTGAAATCAATAGGAGCTCGGCATCTAAATACCTTTGAGGATCTGGGCCTACGTGTCTGTCTGACTGACGTCAGCAAAGCAGGGCATGTCATTAGTCCTGTAATGAGAGGAATTGGCCATGAGGTGTGTATATCCCTCAAATAACTCTTGCATCAGTTTTTTGACATCAGGCCAGTAGCCTTTCATTTTGGGCTTCCTGCCTTCCCCGGCCCCACATCGCCCGTTGCCCCCACTGGCACCCTGCGCTCCCCACCCCACCCATCCCCCCATTGCCCTGGCCCCCGTTGCCTCCCTGGGCTCCTGACCCAGCCCCCCATCGCCCCGGCCTCCGCTGCTTCTCCCGGCCCCCATTGCCTACCTGGGCTCCCCACCGAGCCCCCCATCACTCCAGCCTCCACTGCTTCTCCTGGCCCCTCAGCCATCCCCCCAGCCTCCGCTACTTCTCCCAGCCTCTCACCCATCTGCCTCGCCAGGCTCCTCACCCACCTCCCCATTGCCCCTGGCCCCTGCTGCCTCCCTCGGCTCCCCACCCATCTCCCCATCCCTTCCCCCGGCCTCCACTGCCTCTCCCAGCCCCGCACCCATCCTCCCAGCCCCCACTGCCTCCCTGGGCTCCCCATCCATCTCCCCAGTCTCCGCTGCCTCCCTGGGCTCCCCATTGCCCCTGTTCCCTCCTGCCTTCCCAGGCTCCCCTCCCCCATTGCCCCTAGGCCCTGCTGGCCTCCCCCACCCCCAATTGCTTCGAGCTCCCTTCTGCGGCCTTGCACCCTAGGCCCACCATGCTCCTTGCCTCTTGATCATGGTGCCACCACTAACTGCAGCGCCCTGGGCAGCTGCCCACGTTACCCACCTGTAAGGCCGGCCCTGCTGGGCTATTCCCAGGAGAAGTCTCCTCATGTCACAGCTTTTCCTCCAGTGTTTTGTGTCCATTTTCTGCTGTAAGAGTGGCGTGCAGAAATCTCTCATCCTCATTTCCCACTGGCATTCCCTCGGAGAGGGCTGACTTGTGGTATTCAGAGCAGTTAGCATTCTATCCTTCCAGCCCTCTGGAGACCCAGCATTTAAAATTCCCCATCCAGCTTGCAGCAGCAGTAAAGAAGACTAATGAGACATTGGCTCCTAGCAAGAAGGAGGTATATTATACGAGTGCAAAGATAGTGTGCCGCTGTCACGTTCCTGATCTGTTAACTCAGGCTGCAAATCTCATGAGAATAGCTGAGATCTCCAGTTCCTACACTTCCAGCCCAACCCAGGAAGTGAGAAACTTTCCCCCAATCAGCGGTTTAGGCTTTGGATGATGATTCTTGTCTCATCCAGGCTCGGACACAAGAAAGAAGCCCAGGGGCCAAAGTTTGGATGCCCATCTAGGCTGCCCCAAATCTCAGACATGCTCAGGGGGTTTGGACCCATCTCCAGTTCATACCTTGCAGCTGCATTCTGCTGTATAATATTGTGATTATTTAATTGATATAATTTGTCATGCAGTAGCACCAAGAGAGCTCATTCAAAGACCAGAGCCCCATTATGCTAGGCGCTGTACATGCACCTAATAAGAAACCATCCCTGCTCCAAAGAGTGAGGCGTCTTAGGCCTGGTCCACACTAACCCCCCACTTCGAACTAAGATACACAACTTCAGCTACGTTAATAACGTAGCTGAAGTCGAAATACCTTAGTTCGAACTTACCGCGGGTCCAGATGCAGCAGGCAGGCTCCCCCGTCGACTCCGCGTACTCCTCTCGCGGAGCAGGAGTACTGGCGTCGACGGCGAGCACTTCCGGGATCGATCCCAGAAGATCAATTGCTTACCGCCGGACCCGGAGGTAAGTATAGACGTACCCTTAGTACAGATACTTCTCAGTCCCTCCCCTTGCACACAAGTTTGGAAGTAGGTGAACAATTTAACACCCACACTTAATCTTCTGAGCAGATTTGAATGGAAGCAATATTGCTGCTAATAATACAATCCATTGAAACAACCTTTGCAAATTCATACCATTAGCTTAATGGCAAAAGGTAATTGGCATGCAGTTGGAGCTGTCCTGTTATATTAACCCTGTGGGTTTCTAGGCAGACATCTTCCTCTCGCTGAATGTGACGGGCAACAGGCATGGAGCCTGTATTTTTCATGCTGATTGAAAAAAGATTTGGATGGAAATCGTCTCAAGCCTAGCCATTCATATTCTAGTCCCATGTTCACGGGGCCCTCCCAAGATGATCCCAGTCAATATAAAACAGCACAGATAACATTAGCACCCCTGGAACACTTTACACTTTCAAAGTAGTGTCCGACCCTTACTCCATCCTCACAGCCTCTGGGAGGGAGAGAGGTGAATATTATTAGCCCCATTTTATGGATGGGGAAACTGAGACCCAAATGTGTTAGAGCAAACATTTCCCAAAGTGGCTGTTGATTTGGGGTGCGTAATTGGGACACATAGGGCTGGCTTTCCCCAGTGCATTCGCAGCTGCCATTGAGTTTGACTAGAATCGTGGCTGTTTAGCATCTCTGAGCCTCAAAATCAGTGGCCACTTTTGAAAACTGCGTCCTCAGTGAATTGCCTCCAGACACCTAGTGAGCGAGGGAAAGTTGGGAATCCCTTATGTCCTTTTACCAGGTTAAAAGATGGGAAACAAAGAGTGGAGTAAACGGTCAGGTATCACAGTGGAGAGACACAAATAGCAGAGTCCCCCAAGGATCTGTATTGGGACCGATGCTGTTGAACATATTCATAAATGGTCTGGAAAAAGGGGTAATCAGTGAGGGGATAAAGTTTTCAGACTATACAAAATTACTCAAGAGAGTTAAATCCAAAGCTGACTGCGAAGAGTTACAAAGGGATCTCACAAAACTGGGTGACTGGGCAAAATGGCAGATGAAATTCAATGTTGATAAATGAAAAGTAATGTATAATCCCAACCATCCATACAAAATGATGGGGTCTAAATTAGCTGCTGCCGCTCAGAAAAGAGATCTTGGAGTCATTGTGGAGAGTTCTCTGAAAACATCTGCTCAATGTGCAGCAGCAGTCAAAAAAGCAAATAGAATGTAAGGAACCATTAGGAAAGATATAGCTAATAAGACAGAAAATATCATAATACCTCTATATAAATCCATGGTACACCCACACCTTGACTACTGCATGCAGTTCTGGTCACCCCATCTCAAAAAAGATACAGTAGATTTGGAAAAAGTACAGAGAAGGGCAACAAAAATGATTAGGGGTATGGAACAGCTTCCATATGAGGAGAGATTTAAAAGACTGGGACTGTTCAGTTTAGATAGAAGATGATTGGGGGGGCGGGTATGATAGAAGTCTATAAAATGATGAATGGTGTGGAGACAGTGAATAGGGAAGTGTTATTTACCCCTTCACACAACAACAGGGAGTCACCCAATGAAATTAATAGGCAGTAGGTTTAAAACAAACAAAAGGAAGTATTTCATCACATAACGCACAGTCAACCTGTGGAACTCATTGCCAGCATATGTTGTGAAGGACAAAAGTATAACTGGGTTCAAAAAAGAATTAGAGAAGTTGATGGAGGATAGGTCCATCAATGGCTATTAGCCAAGATGGCCAGGGATGCAACCCCATTCTCTGAGTGTCCCTAAACCTGTGACTGCCAGAAGCTGGGACTGGACGACAGGGGATGGATCACTCGATACATTTCCGTTTTGTTAATTCCGTCTGAATCATCTGGCATTGGCCACTGTTGGAAGACAGGATATTGGGCTAGATGAACCATTGGTCTGACCCAGTATGGCCGTTCTTATGTTCCTCTTGGAGGATTCTTTATTCCATGGTGAGGGAAGTACCCTAGGATTTCCAACTCCCAGATGATTTCTCCTGCCTGCAGCAACCTCTTGTTCCCAAGCGCTACCTAGGTGCAGTGACCTGAGCAAAGGGAATGCACCTTGCATGCAAGGTGACTGCTGCAGCCACTGGTATCCCATATTCTGTCCAGTCCTGATCTGGTGTCCCATAGCCTATCTGGTAAAGGGGCATGTGATCTTTAACCGCTTGGTCACCCGGCTGTTTTTGATCCAAAGCTGTTACCCTCCGAAGGCTACCAGGGGCCAGTGGGAACTGAGGTGGAGGATTCAGTCCAACGGACAGGTGTCCACATCCCAAAAGTCACCAACAGAAGAGGTCCTAACGGGCAGAGAAGCTAAGAATGAAATGTGCCATGCAGACTGGGCAGCCCTCTCTCTGCCAGAGATCGGGGCTGCGGGAGGTAGGGTTGCATAGTGAGGGAAGCTTGCACTGCTCTGTCCATAAGTCGAGGACCTGTCTCCAGAGCTGTCCATCTTTTTCCTAGGGCTGGGCTTGGATCCTCTCGACACACCTCCTGCAACACAGCATTGTGCAGCCTCACTTTGTGGCCACGTCATCCCTCAGAACAGGTGCTGCATTCTGAAGGCACCAGATGCTTTTAGCCCAAGGCTCAGATAACCCCCCAGTGAAGTGCACTGCACGTGCAGTGATTCTACCCACTTAAAACTCCCCCTGTAGTTTTGATTGGATATGGGCTGCACTTCCTAGCCGAAATGGCTGCTGTGCACTGCTAAATGCCAGCCCCGCAGAATCTGGTGAGACACAGTCAGATGATCCTGTGAGGTTGTGGTGAAGGGGGGATGGCACTGACCCCCTTCTCCTTTGGCCGGTGGCAGCCCCCATGGCACAGATTCTCTTCTTGTGTCCCATGGCAATCACTTGCCATGCCACGTGGCTTTGTCGTTAATCTCTGGCTCTGTGTTCCCTTTTTCTCAGGTGCACCCGGAAGGAACGGTGCGAGCGCTCCAGCGAGCCTCGGAGATTCGCCTCGGAGATGAAGCAGTGTGTCCGGCTCACCGTGCATCCCAACAACATCTCCGTCTCCCAGTACAACGTGCTGGTAAGCAGGAGTGGCCCTCATCTCCACAGTGTCTCCTCCTTCCAGGGAAGCCTAAAGAGGTCTCACCCCCATTGCCAGTATTATGTCCCTGGTTACCCGTAACCTTTCATTGACACACTCAGGCTCAGTGGGAAGCACTAGCAGCTTTATTGGATATACTTGGTCTGGCTGGATGTCTACATAGAACTCACTGTCTCCCTGGGTGCTCCCTGACATACACTGGGGTCTCACCCAGGGAGGAGGCTCTCCACTTTGATTGTTCCCGATTAGGAACATGGAGGGGATCTTTCTCATGTGCATTCCACTCATGGTGTGTGCATGCCCCGTGCACAGTCAGAAATGTTTCTCTCCGTGGTACCCAACGGGGCGGCTTGAGCACCCTCTGTTGCTGCGTGCCACTGTGTGACAATATAAAGGGCCCAACCACCCCCGAAACCTCTCAGTTCCTTCTAGCTGCCTGTGGCAGTCATTGGAATTGCTTGGCTTACCTTAGCAGGTGCTTTCAGTGTGTTCATTGTAAATTAATTGCAGATAGGTTTCTAGATTCATAACGTCTTAGTTAATACAGTGTACGTTTTCTGTTTTGGTCCCCAGTCGGGGGCTTTTTCCGTTAGTCAGTACCAAGGGGTCCCTCACTCACTGGGCTTCAAGCCCTGCATCTCTTGCACGAGGCCAATGCCCGTGAGTGACCCACACTCAAGTTACTTGAAGTGTTTCGGGGAAGCTAGTATTCAGGATCATTGCCAAATCTGCAAAGTCCTTACGCCTCAGACAAAGAAAGACAGAGAAGCGTGGGAATAAGAGTAGAGTGCAGCAGAAACCCAAGCACTCCTCTTCTGTGGCACTGTTGACTCCGGCACCAAGGCAGGCATCATCGAGTCCGGGGCTTGAGGGAGTGCCTTCTACATCTGCGCAACTGCACCGTCCCGAGACCATCTCAGTACCGGCCCCAATGGAGAGAGACATTCTGAGCCTTTCGGTGCTGGTATGTCTGGCGGTGCAGGAGACCGCTCCGCTCAGTACCCGCAGACAGAGGGGCACCAGCAACATTGGTGCAGCACTCAATGCTATGTCAGCATCAGTTGTCTCAAACTGCATGTCCGTCGGTACCGCTGAAGGGGGAGCCTGAAATGTTGGCTGCACTACGTCCTTCTTTGATGAGGCATCGGTCTCTGGCACTGTTGGGAGTGGCCTCTCCTTGGTCCTTTGAATCGGAGATTGGCTCCTGTTTCCCACTCTCGGAGCCACTCTTGCTACTCTCCGCCAAGGGACTACTACCCTGATAGGGAACCTTCGGTGGGAGTGCCGTTGAGTGGGTGGCCAGGGGTCACTGCCATCACCTGTCCAGTGGCTTTTTTGGAATCTGTGGGGTTTCCCCACTGTTTCCAGGTCATACATGAGACGTTCCTGTTCTGTGTCCTTGGAGAGGTGTGGGATAAAGTTTCACATGGTCACCCTGGCTTCCATAATCCCCTCCCTGGATCCTGGAGATTGATACACTGCCCTTGATTTACGAGACGCCTACTTTCATGTGGCAGTTTATCAAGGTCACAGAAAGTTTCTCAGGTTCATACTAAAGCGCTTTCATTACTAGTTCACTGTGCTGCCTTTCGGCCTATCAGCAGCTCCTTGGGTTTTCACAAAATGTGTGGCAGTGGCAGCTGCTTTCCTGAGGAGACTAAGAGTACAGAGTCTGTCCTTACCTGGATAACTGGCTAGTCCAGGTCTGGTCCAGGGATCACTTTCTCTCTAGTGTTCAACTCATCCAGTCAACCTTCAAAGCTGTGGGTCTACTGATCAACTCAGACAAGTCTACTCTTTGTCCAGCTCAGAGGATAGAGTTTATAGGAGCAGTTCTGGACTCTACTCAAGCCAGAGCATTAAGATTTGAAACAATTTGCTGTCTTGTGACCGTTTTTAAGGTTCACCCAATCACATCATCTCGAAACGGCGTGAGGCACTTGGGGCATATGGTCTTATGCCCATAGGGAGTCCAGCATGCCAGGTTGCACCTCAGGACTCTTCAGGTCTGGCTGGCCTCCATTTAATCACCAAGTTGGCACCATCTGAACACTGTACTCACTGTGCCCTTGCGGGTTCTCACTTCGCTAGATTGTGGCCTGATTCACTCAATGTTTGTGTGGGCATTCCCTTTGTCCACCATCAGCCTTCGCAGACACTGGTGATGGACGCATCTGCCCTGGCGTTGGGGGGTTCATCTGGGCCCTCTCTGAACTCAAGGTTTGGGGTCCTCAAGGGATCTCTCTCTCTTCATATCAAAGTCAGGAAGCTAAGGGCTGTCTGCCTAGCCTGTCAGACCTTCCTACTGCGCATCAAGGGAAAAAGCCTGTTTGTTCTCCCAGACAACATGGCAGCCATGTTTTACCTCAACAGGCCAGGAGGAACTCACTCTTCCCTGCTTTGCAGGAAGCAGTTCATCTATGGAACTTTTGCATTGCCAATTCAATCGACCTTGAGGCCTTCCAGGGTGCAGAATGAGCTGGCGGACCGCCTAAGCAGATCATTTACGAGTCACCATGAGTAGTCTTCCCACCTGGATGTTACCAGATGCATTTTTCAGCAGTGGGGGACTCCCCAGATAGACCTTTTGCAACCAAGGACAACAGGAAATGCCAATAATTTTTCTCCTGCAAGGCCACAGTCCTGGTTCATCTCAGACACTTTCCTGCTACCGTGGATGAAAAAGTTCTACTACGCTTTCCCGCCAATCCCACTCATACACAGAGTGCTAAGAATGATACTAAACTGCTCAAGATAGTTAAGACTAAAGCAGACTGTGAAGAACTTCAAAAAGATCTCACAAAACTAAGTGATTGGGCAACAAAATGGCAAATGAAATTTAATGTGGTTAAATGTAAAGTAATGCACATTGGAAAAAATAACCCCAACTATACATACAATTAGATGGGAGCTAATTTAGCTACAACAAATCAGGAAAAAGATCTTGGAGTCATCGTGGATAATTCTCTGAAGATGTCCACGCAGTGTGCAGAGGCGGTCAAAAAAGCAAACAGGATGTTAGGAATCATTAAAAAGGGTATAGAGAATAAGATGGAGAATATATTATTGCCGTTATATAAATCAATGGTACGCCCACATCTTGAATACTGCGTACAGATGTGGTCTCCTCATCTCAAAAAAGATATACTGGCATTAGAAAAGGTTCAGAGAAGGGCAACTAAAATGATTAGGGGTTTGGAACGGGACCCATATGAGGAGAGATTAAAGAGGCTAGGACTTTTCAGCTTGGAAAAGAGGAGACTAAGGGGGGATATGATAGAGGTATATAAAATTGTGAGTGATGTGGAGAAAGTAGATAAGGAAAAGTTATTTACTTATTCCCATAATACAAGAACTAGGGGTCACCAAATGAAACTAATAGGCAGCAGGTTTAAAACCAATAAAAGGAAGTTCTTCTTCACACAGCACATGGTCAACTTGTGGAACTCCTTACCTGAGGAGGTTGTGAAGGCTAGGACTATAACAGCGTTTAAAAGAGAACTGGATAAATTCATGGAGGTTGTTAATTAATGGCTATTAGCCAGGATGGGTAAGGAATGGTGTTCCTAGCCTCTGTTTGTCAGAGGATGTAGATGGATGGCAGGAGAGAGATCACTTGATCATTACCTGTTAGGTTCACTCCCTCTGGGGCACCTGGCATTGGCCACTGTCGGTAGACTGGATACTGGACTAGATGGACCTTTGGTCTGACCCAGTTCTTACGTTAACGATCAAGTGGACCAGGCCTGGATTATATTAATAGCCCCAGCATGGCCTTGACAGCACTAGTTTTCCACTCCTCTGGATCTGTCAGTGGAGGCTCCAATTTCACTCCTGTTGCACCTGGACTTGATCTCCCAAGATCATGGTTGACTGCACCACCCTAAACCATGGGCCCTTCATTTAACGGCTTGCAGGCTCCATGGCTAACTTCTAGAGAGGAGTCTTGCTCGGAGCAAGTTCACTATGTCTTGTTAAATAGTACAAAGCCTTCTAGCAGAGCTGCTTACATGTCAATATGGAGGCATTTTTCTGTTTGGTCTTGTCAGTCTGGAGCCTAGCCAATGCAGTCCTCTATCCAGCATATCCTGGACTATCTATTGCACCTAAAATAGCAAGCGTTAGTAATATCTTCTATCAAGGTCCACCTGGCAGCAATATCATCTTTTCAGACTCATGTGGATAACTATTGTATATGCTCTAATGATATGACAATCAGATATGTGAAGGGCCCGGAAAGGTTGTACCCTCAAATAAAGGAACCTATCCCGCCCTGGGACTTGAACCTAATTTTATTGAAGATCATGGGGTCACCATTTTAGCCTCTAACAACATGTTTCTTACTGCACCTATCTCTGAACTGTGTGCTCTGACATTCAAACCGCCCTGTACAATCTTTTTTAAGGATTAAGTGTACTTGCACCCTCATCCAAGATTTCTCTCCAAAGTGGTATCTAATTTTCATATTAACCAGTCAATTTACTTACCAAAGCCACATGCCAACAGAGAGGAGCAACATCAGCACACATGAGATGTCAGAAGGGTGCTGGCATTCTACATAGACATGACTAAACAGTTTTGTTTGTCAACTCAATTGTTCAAGGCCATAGCAGACAGAATGAAGGATTTCCTGGTCTCTTCACAAAGAATTCCATCTTGGATAACTTCCTGCATTTGTGTGGGATTCAGCAGGTATTTCCCTGCCAAGCAAAGTGATGGCACATCCCACAAGATCGCAAGCGGCCTCGGCGGCGTTCCTTGCACAAGTCCCTATCCAGGAGATCTGTAAAGTGGCCTTCACACCTTCGCATCCCATTATGGCATTATTTGGTACTCCAGAGGTGAGGCTACATTTTGATGAGTTTTACTCCAGTCTGTGTGCACATGAGCGCCTTTCCCTCCTCCTACTTTATGAGTCATCTCCAGTGGAATGCACATGACCAATCACTTAGAGAAGAAAAATGAGTAACTAATCTTACATAACTGTTGTTCTTGGAGACGTGTTTCACGTGTCCATTCCACCGCCGACCTTCCTACCCCTCTGCATCGGAGTTGTCCAGCAAGAAGGAACTGAGGGAGCTCAGGGACGGCTGGGCCCTTTACACCAGCATGCATGGGCACATGGCACCAGAGGGCACTCGAGCTTCCCCGAAGGTACCACTGAGGGAACAATTTCCCATGACTCTGCGTGGGGTGGCGCACACCACGAGTGGAATGGATTTATGCAGCACATCTCAAAGAACAATAGTTACAAAAGGTTAGGAACTGTTTTCTCCAGTTCATTGCGAGGAGCTGAATGCAGTTCTGAAGAGGAACCAGAGATCCATCAAAGAGGAATGCTCACCCATTGCAGCCAACTTCTTTACCTCAGACACCAAAGATATTGGACTCTATAGCCGTGTGCAAAATATGGGCAATCGGCTTTGGCTGTGTTAAAATTCAGCTTCTAGGACTGCGGTGGAGAGGCGTGCTAGGACCATTTAATATACTTCAATTTCCCTTCACTTCATGGACCAGGGTCTCTTTCTTGAACTACCAAAGCACCCAGGTCTGGTACGGTTTCAACACTGAACACCCCAGAGCAGAGGTATGGGGACACTAGAAATTGCAGCTTGCAGCCCATCTCTTCCAAGGTTTATGCTTTGCTACATTCAACCCCCTCTCTTCCTCGGCACTGGATGTGGCCCCTGTGGCAGAGAGCTATTAAAGGCAGCCGTTGGCACTGCAGGACAGTTATGATGCCAGTGGAGCAACTAGTGTTACTGTTCCTTGTGGAAAAGCCTTTTCTAGGGACAAGAAGAGAGTTCATTGTAAAGGGCCCATTCAGTTTCCAACCTGTCTACGGTACCTGATGACAGCAGTGCCCCTTATATTGCGGTTTTTGTGTTGTGAACACGTGCCCACTAGGAACTGAACTGGGGCCTATTTCATACAGGCCACTGAACAGCTGCCACATGGTAACTCTTTCTGGTCATATTGACCTGGGCTGGATTTGAACTCACAGCCTAGAAATGAAAAGCTCCATCTCCCTTCAATGTTCCTTTGAGCAAGTCAGTAGCTCCCCATTCTTTGTGGGCTCAGTGGAGTGCTCACGGTCCACTAGCTGGCCATCTGTCAGGTATTTAGAGTAAGGTGTTTGAGGTTGTTTTTTTAGCCTGTATGTCCAGTCCCTGCGGCTTTGTTTCTGCCTCTTACCTTTCCTGTGACTTAACCGTCCCAGGAGTACGACACAAGTAATCAGAGACATCGTAAATTGTTTGTTCTTCTGGGAGTGCAACTTATTATTTTTAATTCTCTCAATAGTCTTTGAATTCTCCTATGTTAGAATAAAGACTGGCTCAGGGTGATTGCGTCACCATGGCAGTGCAAGTCAGCCCAGAGCTATTGTTGTCCTCAGCCGCTTGCTGTCTGATGGCCCATATGAACTGAGTTGTTGGGTCTCAGTCAGCTCCTAGTGGACTGGTGTCCACAGCACAGTAACCACCATCTCAGATGGTTTATCGGCAAACCCTAGCACAAGTCAGAGACTGATTGGGTCATGGAGACTACACTGAGTTTTGGGCAGTTCTGGTTAGGGGAGAGCCTCTTCCGCGATCATGCCAAGTTCTTCCCTGACGTGAGGGTAGGGAATGTGCCTGTTTGCTCAGCCCGTGCTTAGACCTATGGAAGGTATTGTCCACATGGCAACACTGACTCTTCTTTGGCAGCAGAAGTGCCCAGGGACTTGGGAGTCACATCTGGGTCTGGCTCAGTCCTAGGCTGCTGCTCATGGACTGTGTGAGAGGAGAAAGGTGCTGGAGAAGGGGGCATTCTCTACCCACTGCAGGGGCTCCAAAGCAGGAGCTTTTGTTCATTGGTGGCAGCTCCAGGCTTATCACATTTGTGCCCAAGTTTTTCAGGCCTTTTCCTTGGTGACTGTGCTCGGAGAAGTGACAAAGCTGCATTCTGCCTTTTACACACTTGTGAGCAAGTTCCCTGGCTGGGGCAGCAGCCTGGTGAGAGCTCCAGCCTTCCCCTCCACTGCTGGTCCGGGTGCGTTGATGGGAGGGAGGAAGTGACCGAGGTGGAGCCATTCAATAGAAGCACTGTCCCGGGGACAAGCCCACCCCAGTCCTCAGAGCTTCTCCCTCTCCCCTCCCATAACTTGGCAGGAACAAAGTGCTCCCCTTAACCAGGCAATACATTTACAGGTGAATTGTAAGACTGATCAGACTAATGGTCCCTCTCTTCTGTGCCCTTGCTGTCTCTGAGGTGGTTAATGCTGGATGCCTTAGGGGAAGGCACACAGCTCCCATAATGCACCTCACTGGGTGATGAGAACATACCATGAGAAGGCGAGTGGGATTTTTGTTCCCTCCTTCTACTGCTCCATTGATGGGCAGAGGGACAGGTCCATTATGCTGGGAGCTTCTCTCCCGCTGCATGTGATTGGGTCTCAGATGAGACTCAGATTCTCACGGACCTCATGCTCAGAACTAGCTTATATAATGCGGGAGCATGTAATACATTGGCTGAGCACATGTGATCGTGTCTCCCTTTAATGGCTGGCCCCAGCAAGGATAAGGCTCTGGTATTTACTAACCATGAGTGGAGTAACGCCTGTAGATCACCGGCAGGGGGCTTGTGCTACTGGTGTGGAAGTACCCTGCTGCCGCTGTTGGTGTCTGTATATTTGTGGCCACGGTTTGTTACCATGGCAGGTGGGGGTGGTGGGGTGGATGCAGCCGACTGAGAGCAGAGTTATAATTAGAATCATAAGCGGGACCTCATGTAAAATGGATCTTCCGTTCCAAATGGTAATAAACCGAGTGATGCTTTGTCACGTGAGAACGTGAACGTCCTGGAAACCAGCTGTTCGATTTGTTTATTTCGTTACACTTTAGTAGTGGCAAAGCCAGTGGATGTCAGGGATTCCAGAGTGCCGGACAGCGACAGAGCGCCTACCCATCCTTTTATTTACAATGCTAGTGCCCCAACACATCATGACCTCAGAGCCCGCTGCTCCTGTAACCGAGTGATCAAATGGGGCAGGCATTTCTGAGCTGCCTGTAAAGGTGAAGTAATTCAGCTGGCCCACTAGAGGGAGCGGATGCTGGTGGCTTACTGAAGGCTGTAACTAGACTCTCTATACACAGGAACTTGTTGGTGACAGAGAGCTCCCTCTGCTGGTGATGCTAGGAGAGGAGGCGTAGAGAGTTAGACTGGAGCGCTACAGTTTCTCTGTAGTCCGCAGAGTGCCTCTTGTGAGTAATAGTCACCTTCCTCAGAAACCTTGTGCCAAGGGGCCAGCAAGCCCCAGTCTTCACAGCCTATTCCAAAGACTCCCGTGCCAATATTACACCTGCATGACCGATGTCGAGCACGCCACGCCACTGACCCGACTCGAACTCACCCTGCACGGTGAAGCAGCAGCCACCGCCCCTGCATAGCCACACGCCACTTGTGTTTACATCTGCATTCCATCTCCCCCTCTCCCCCCCAGAGTCGCTGCTTTCTGTTGAAGGAGGATCCTTTATCTAGCAAGAGGCTCTTTGTCCAACCTCTCCAGTGTAATTCTCTTCTGCTGGCCTCGTCTGTCTGCCAATGAGCTCAGCACTCTCTTTCTCTCTCTCCCGCCCCCTTTGCTTGCAGCTGGTCTTGGAGACCTACAACGTCCCCGAGTTGTCAGCAGGGGTCAACTGCACCTTCGAGGACCTTTCCGAGATGGACGGCTTGGTGGTGGGGAACCAGATCCAGTGCATCTCCCCGGCTGCCAAGGAGGTGCCCCAGATCATCATGGAGAATGGTGAGTGTCTCAGGCCTTCCCTACGTGAACACTGGGGTGGGTGCGCTGCTTCCCTCCGACCCGTTGGTGAGAGCACAGCAGCTGAGAGAACAGCACATTATTGGCTGGGCATGTGTCTGTATGGGCCCTAACGCTGCCGGTGTAGCAACAGCACATTTACGAGCATTTTGGCAGTCCAGTCTTATCCATCTCAAATGATGGGGCTCGCATCCCAGTCCAGTACATCTCCATGTCAGGTACTTTATCCAGCTATTCTGCCTGAACGATTCCCTCCTTAATTTCATCACACTCCTCCTCGTTACATCTCTGCGTGCAGCTCCCTAAATCAGTCTCTTCCTCTCTGGCTTTTACACCCTTCAGGTATTTGCAATCCGTTACCCTGTCCCTTTCCCATAATAGCCCTTGCCCAAGCCAGATGTGCTTATCCTTCCATGCCAGCCCCCGATCCATTTGGTTTCTCTTCCCTCAGTTGTCTCCAGTTTGTCCGCAGCCCTCTGCAATGGGGCACTCAGAACTGAACGCAATATTTCAGGTGCAGGTAGGGCTCTAGCTCCCCCAGTTGCCCAGCAAGACACTGTAAGATGTGCCTATGCCGCTAGGCTTCCCCCAAGGCCTTAAATTGGGTCACAGGCAGGTGGGCAGGTGCAAGGAGAAGCTGCCATTCTTGTTCTCTGTGTTATTTGTGAACTCTAGTGGTGAATTTAGTCCCAGTGAAAGATCCCTGGAGGCCCACAAGCTCTCCCCGCGTGCACTTCAATTCTGGAGTAAGCCTAGGGCGACCAGACAGCAAGTGTGAAAAATCGGGATAAGGGGTGGGGAGTAATAGGAGCCTATATAAGAAAAAGACCCAAAAATTGGGACTGTCCCTATAAAATTGGGACATCTGGTCACCCTAAGTAAGTCAGTCACCGCTAAGGAGTCAGAAGGCAGTTCCCCTCTCCACTGCCCACTCAATCCTTACCTGCTGTTGACTAGCCTACCAAGAAGGATGCTAATCAGTGGAGATTGCAATGGGGACTTCTCTGGTATAGGCTGTTGTCCATTAGGGACCTGGCTCAGAGCCACGCGCAAACGAAAGGAGTGACACTAGAGTGATGGAGAAAAAGGAGCACTTCTAGAGTCTGATTTTCAGAGAAGTTGAGTTCCCACGGCTCCCATCACTGTCAACGGCTGGCGTTCTGCACCTCTGAAAATACGGCCCTTGGTGCAGACTGCCAGAGGGTGGATTGAAGAGAGGGGTGGGAGGTTCCATAGCTTGTTCCCAACCCCCGGAGCCAGTCAGTTCCCAAAACACTGGCAAAGTTGTTAAATATGAAGCAGTTAACAGAGCTGTCAAAGCCATCGGCAGCAGATGGGCAGTAGAGTCGAGTGCTGGTGGCACAATGTATTCAGGAGTGTGTGTGCGTGTGTGTGTACATGTGCATGTGGAGATGAATTGTCAAACTTGCTTTGGCCTGATTGATTAATGAATCTTTCCGGTGAGGAGGAAAATAATAGAGGTGGAAGGGCCAGCCAGGTCAAAGCCTTGAATTAAACATGGGCTCCTTCATCATCAAATTATTGCAGTTACTTCACCCACATAACATCCGCTGCTGACAGGCCCAAGGGAGCCGACTGGGAGGTATGCGGGTTTGGAGTTGGTGGAGAGGCAGAAAGGGTTAATGATAGTGGAGTGGACGGAGGACGGGGGTAGATGAGGAGTGAGAAAAGGAGTGGGTGGATTTGGGAGCTGGATAATGGGGGGAGGGGTCAGCTCCAGGGGAGGCTCAGGGTCTGCTGTGGATGTGGGGGTGGCAGCCTGTGAGCAGTGGATGTTCCCTGTGGGATGAGAGTGGTGCATGGAGGTTGCTCTGGGAGAGCACGGAAGGAAGCGAAGAGATGGGATTAGGTGGGGGAAAGAGGAAAGAGACCTCAGCATGGTATTGAGCCGCCAGTGTGGTATTCCCAGGGGAACCCCCTAAAGACTCAACATACACCTGAGCATGGCAATCCCCTGTGGAACTCAGCAGCTCCTCCCAGCCCCCGGGGATGCTATTCACACGGGGATCGGCCTTGGTGCCCCCATTCCCCTCAGCGTGGGGTTCACAGAGGGCACCCCCTTCGGGACTCAGCACAGTGTGATGTTCACAGGAGAACCCCCACCCTAGGTACTGCACGTCCCCCCAGCAGGCTGGTCCCTGGGTTCAACCCACCTCAGCAGAGCAGGTGTAAGGAGGGCCTGTCTGTAAGGGAGTGTAACTTACACCACTCACTCATCACCTGTGAATGTAGCCCTGCGCCCCCGTTGGGTCACACATGCCCCCTGCACACTCATCCCGCCCAGGCTCACAGCCTTTAGCAGCAAGCAGCGGAAATAAATGGGGGCAGAACGTTCACCCGGAAAATGACTCCCCCGCGATGGAGAGCAGGTGTGCCCTTCCATTCCTGTGACACCACAACTCTCAGCAGGCCAGCCAGTCATCCTGCAATCCACCCGGCCTCCCCTCCTGGGGGCATGTTGTGACCCCCTCAGCCTGCAGAAGGAAGCACCGTTGCTGTAGCATTCAATGTTCATGTCCTCCTTATTCCGATTAGCTCCACACTAACATCGCTCCCTCCTCCTCTCCGCTCTCAGCCTCTCACTTGTTGGCCTGAATTATCATAGACTCTGATTAGGAAGAGATGGAAAAGACCTGGCCAGCCCCAGCCAGTCCAGCTCCCCCATTGGCGTATGAAAGAGTATTCCCAATGGTAAACTTTCCCCAGGCTGATTTTAAATGACCCAAGATATGGGACTCCCATCACTGAGAAGGCTCCACCATCTAAAAGAGACCTGGAAATCTTTCCTCGTATTGGTGCTCTTATCTTAGATTTTACTCCCACTGACTGAGCTTCTTGAAGTAAGGACTTCAGGGGTCAGGCCCAATCTACCTAAATTTTCCTGTGCGCAATTCCTACTTATCAGGCCTAGTCCTGGGGTCTGTACTCAGGCATAGCTCCTGCTGACATCATTGGGAGGTTTGCCTGTGTGAGGACCTCCAGATCTGGCCCATTATTCCTAGCTGTCTCCTTGGAGTACCATAACCAGTTCAACCACAGCATGTCTAAATTTCAAAAACGTACAGGGGTTAGGAAATGCCATGCTCTGATACCACCGTGATGCCAGTAGTTTAAAAATCTAGAGGGACAGTCCTTAGTCATTGCTTGGCCAAGCCATACATATTTCATCCTCTCGAATCTTTCCTTGGGAGTTTTCATTGCTCTTCCATTGCTCTTCAGTGGTTGGGGTTGGTCCTGCTTTGAGCAGGGGGTTGGACTAGATGACCTCCTGAGGTCTCTTCCAACCCTAATCTTCCATGATTCTTTCAATTTGAGGGGTCCGTTCTGGGGCTGAGATGCCCAGAACTGGATGCGCTATTCCAAACATGATCTCTCTCTGTCTCTTCCCCGCCACCCCAACACACCCATCATTGTGGAAGCTGACAGCCTGATGATGTGATAACACATACAGCTAAAAATTACATTGGATAACGTTTTCCAAAACACCTAAATGACTAAAGCCCTGCGCGGATACAGAAATGTGGATCTGCATCTGATCCACGTCCGCAGGAATCAACTTGTATCCACCCCGCGATTCGCACTTCGTCTTTTATCTGTATCCACATACGCACCACACCCACAGTCGCACGCTACCAGGAGTGTCTGTGTGCAGTACTGTATAAGAAAGCTATATAGCTTAATAAACGTGCACATTATTATTATTGTTGTTGTTGTTATTGTTATTTTAAACATCAATCTGATTATACAACCAGCATCAGAACAAATAGCTTTTTACATTAAAAATAATGAAACAAATGTCTCACCTCAGTAATGCTTCAAAATCACAAACGGAGCTATGAAATTAAAAAGTCTGCGGCCTATTTAGCTTGTGATTTATTAAGTCTCCTAGACTCATAGATTTTAAGGTCAGAAGGGACCATTATGATCTTCTAGTCTGACCTGCACAACGCAGCCCTCAGAATCTCCCACCCACTCCTGTAACAAACCCCTGACCTATGTCTGAGCTATTGAAGTCCTCAACTTGTGGTTTAAAGAACTCTCCAATCCCAATTTCTTTGCACCAGCCACTGTTCTCCCTGCGGAAGCATGCAAAGGGAATACAATCGCTGGGCTACAGTGCTTTTTTGTCAGGGTTTGCCAGGGCTGAGCCCCGGCACCGCTCGGCTTGGCAGGTCATTCTCCTCTCGGGGGGAGTGAGGAGCAACGACAGGTGCTCTGTGATTCCAGGTCAGTTTCCCCACGTGGGCTCAGGAGGGGGATGCAAGGGTTAGGGGTACAGGAGGGGGGCAAAGGTGCTCTCCGGTTGCCCAGCCATTGATTACTTTGGGCCATACCAGGTCAGCTGGAGAGGGAGGCAGCTGCTTTTGCAGAGTACGTCAGTCTGGCTTCCCTCTCCGACTGACCTGGAACGGCAATGAAGTCAGGAGGGGTTTCCTAAAATGCTTGGCTGCTTAAACAGCCGGGATAGGAGCATGGGGGATTTTGCTGCCTGTCTTGATCTATCACCTCCCCTTTCTCTGTCGGTGGGGGGGGGGTTGGGAGGGATATAGGCTCTGGAAGGCAGGGAAGCAGCCTCATAGGCCTCCCCGCCTTTGAGAGCCTATATTTAGAGGCCTGCGCGGATACAAAATTTGAATCCGCCTCCAATCCGCCATCTGCGAAAATGGTCCGCGGATATAAAGTGAATATCTGTGGATTAACAGGGCTCTATAAATGACCCAGGAGCCTAAGTCACAAATGCATATGTGCCTTTTGAAAATGGGATTTAGGCTTGTAAGTTACTTAGGTGCTTCGGAAAATGTTACCCGTTGGCTTTATTTTCTACCACCATGTGGCATTGCAGGCTTCTGTCTACTGAAGTTTATTATTCATGCAGTGGTGCGTAGCATTGTTAACAGCGGCTACATTCCACTCCAGAAGCAGCTGCATTTCAGCGGCAGGTGGAATTATCCTTATTTCTCCCTTCCCTCCCTCACAGAGGTATTTTGAAAGCTTTAGGTTAGCTAACATTTATAAGCAATATGAGGTACAGTCTTACGCCTGGTCTACACTAGGAAATTAGATCAGTATAACTTCGCTCATGGTGTGAAAAATCCACCCCCCTGAGCGGCTTAGTTAAACCGACCTAACCCCTGATGTAGACAGTGCTAGGTCTATGGAAGAATTCTACCGTCGACCTAGCGACTGCCTCTTGGGAAGGTGGATTACCCATGTCAACAGGAGAACCCCTAGGTAGCGTCGACACTGACTCACTACTGTGGCGCTGCTGCTGCAGCATTTAAAATGTAAACAAGCCTATAAACGCCGTGCCTGGAAAAGACCCTGCTGTATTAGATCAAGTCCATTCTCCTGCGTTTAGAAGTTTAGAGTCTGCAGGCGGGGGATGTGGCAACAGAGCAGTGTTTATGAATGAGTATTGTTGGTCGTTATTTATCGCGCACAATCAGTGTGAGTAATGCTGTACAAAACACAAAGGCAGACCCTGTTTCCAGGACCTTACTAGCTGAATTAGGCAAACCGCTCAATTCAGACACACACAGCACTGGACTCTATTTTCAGCTCTGCCACTGACCTGCTGTGTGACCTTGGACAAGTCACTTCCCCTCTTTGTGCCCGTGTCTCTTCCCAATCCCACCTCTATCTTGCGTGTTTAAATGGTAGGTTCTTTGGGGGTAAGGGCTGTCTCTACCTCTGTGTAGGCCTCTGATCTGAATTAGGGCCTCTAGGCGCTACTGGGATACAAATTCAGAATAATAAGAGCATTTTCTTAAGTGGCCACTGATTCTTGGTGCCTCAATCTTTGAGCGTCTGGCCTGAGACCTGGCCATTAATGATTCATTTGTTTATTAATACAATCGTGCAGTGACCTCTCATGATCCTTATGCTTTTTCCCCAGGAGACCATCACATTGTCCAGCTCCAGCTGAAGTCCAAAGAGACAGGCATGACCTTCGCCAGCACCAGCTTTGTCTTCTACAACTGCAGCGTCCACAACTCGTAAGTTTGTATTCCCCCGACGTGCCTCTTCCCCCCCACAACCTTATCATGCTGCTTTGAATCCATCCCAGCTGCCCACGCTGGCTGGTCCAGGTAGCACAGAGACGGCCACTTAGGTGTCGAGGAGACCCTCAGTCGTGTCTCTTGGTTCTGGGTAGAACATCTGTCCCACAGATTAGCCGATGCTGGGTGACAGGTACCCTCCCACTATTGGAAACATGCAGGACAACATGGAAACAACTTATTAAACTTCCTAGTAATGGGCTTTGAGCTGACTTGGTTTGTACTCAGGCACCCCTCAGGCAAAACACCACATCAGTGGGGATTTGTCTGAGGACTGACTGAGTGGAAATGGAGTCACAACCTCGGCAAATGGCCATGTGGACTTTAGTGGCTACTCATGTGGAGCCCGATCCTGCACACTCTTGTGCTCTATCAATCCTTGCTCATGCCATCAGTCACTGTTAGTTAGCACCAGGCTTGGTACTAAGTGTTGGCAGGATTGGGCCCTGAATGGACAGGGGCCAATTAATGGTAGAGTTGTTTTTGTGTGTGATGTGGACACTATTCTCTAGGAACTGGATTGATACCACAGGCTGATTTGCCATAGAATAATCTTTTCCTACCAGGAACCCCTTTTCCATCCTGGTTCCTCCTGCTGTGTATCTGGGATCTGGCTGGAACTCCCATCCTGTTAAGCAATATGGGAAGGGCAGGGTGGTCTGGACCGATCCACCGAGAACTCCTCCTTTAGAACATCTGATGTGGGACTAGAGTCATTACTGCACAGGAGATGAGTGTGTAGGATTCATATGCCAAGGCAGAGGGGGGACCCCTCTTCAGTGGATTGCTCTGTTCCCGAGCAAGGCAGATGGGCTGTGCCCTCATGCCCAGGCCATCATCTTTCCCAGACAGGGCTCCGGAAGTGCCAAGAGGCGATAATTACTGCAGCGCCTTGATTCACAAGCAAAGGCAAATCCTATTTCCGTGTCCCCGCTGCTTTGACAAACAGCAGCCGGGGGGGAAAAAAAAGAAAAGAAAGTGATGAGGTGTTAAATATTTATGGCATGTTTTGGTTTCTGACTTGACAAACTATAATACGCTATCCATTTTTAATTTGATTTATCAGAGTAAGCACTTGTTACCAATTTAAAGAACAGCTCTTTGCATCAGGGCTTAGGGTGGATTGACATAATGCAAGATTTCAGAGAGGATGGAGAAATGGTGTCTGCCTCTCTGCCTGATGCGGCTGGGTGGTATTTTTCACACATGCACGTTTAAAGGATCCAATGGCACATCAGTGCTAGTGAAATTCTCCCTGTAGCACTATTTAAACCCTCCCTTACACATTGGTGGGACCTGCATTGGCCATCCTGGCCAGATGAACATGTGAGCAGGGAGCAACTGACAGTCCTACCATCTGACGGCAGTGATCTCAGTTCAGTTCCTAGTGAGTCCACACAAGACACAAAGAAGTGGTGTAGAGGTAACTGAGCAAGGACGTGCAGTTGCAGTCAGCCTGGCTTTCCCCCAAGAAAGCAAGAGATGGTAACATAAGGGGAAAGTAAACAAAAAAGCCGACCTGTCCTTTGACCCTGGGTGATGAGCTTGCCTAGCCCTCCCCCTGCCCACCCTGTGCCAGGGCAGAGGGGAATGGAGCAAAATTAACCCTGTGCTCACCAGAGAGTTGTACCCTGTTCCGCTTGGAAAGTGGGTCAGTAAAGCTGACATGGAAAGGTGCATTCAGAGCCATTTTATACAGGCAGATAAGGGTCATAACGGGCCTAATTCTGTTCTCTGACACTGGGTGTAATACCCGGGTACCTCTGTTGACCTCTCTGGAGTTACTCTGGGTTTACCGAGGTGGTTTTGGAATCAGGCCCAACGTCTCTGATTCACAACAGCGTTGGCAGTGCCCATTCTGCTCAGCACCACTGACCAAAAACACCATCATAACTGGCATGTGCATGAACCAGTTTCCTTATTGGCAGCCTCAACAGATAGACCAAGGACTGAGCGGGCCATGGAGACTGTGCTCCCCTCTGAGTCGTAGGGTGGGGTGGGGGGCCTTGACAGGGGAGTGTGTGCGCTCCCTGGGTCCTTGAGGGTTGGCTGGGTTTAGTGAGTTCTTCTCTCTCTGTCCCCAGGTGTCTGTCCTGTGTGGAGAGCCCCTATCGGTGTCACTGGTGCAAATATCGCCATGTCTGCACCCACGACCCCCGTTCCTGCTCCTTCCAGGAAGGGCGAGTCAAGCTGCCAGAGGTAGGAAGGGACACTGGGGGGACACAGAGGGTTCGTGGGCAGGGCAGTGCTTATGTCTGACTGAAACCAACAAACTGCCTCCATTCCCAATCACCCATTCCTACCCCTTCTACCCTGT